TTGGATAAGAAAAAATTAGTAGTACAAAAATAAAACAACGCCAATATTACAAAATATAACATTAAAAAGTGTATAAATCACTCGTTTTTCTAAAGAAACATTGTCCAACAGCGACACCAGCAGGTAAAGTTACAGCGGGAGTCCGAGTCTCTCTCGCCTCCCCGAGCCCATTGAGTTTTAACAGACCAACTAAAGCGTGCAGGGGGGGGGAGGGAAATCACGTGAGATCACGATATGATTGGATATGACTGGTTATGTTCGGCTGTGATTGGTTCATGCGATAAATCCCGCCTCTTGTGTTCATGCGCGTTCTACGTTCGCGAATCAGTCTGAATGAACAATAGGATAACAAATGGATAAAATATAAAAATCACTTTAATTTCCAAAAAAAAAACAAAAAACTGTTGAAAGTGAAACGCCGTCCCCCTCTAAATTTCCTCCCCGGTCCCCCCAGTTGTTTTTATGACATGTCGTTATTATGAGAAAAATTATGTCGTTTTTTTAACTGTAAGTTCTCGTTATTATGACATAAGTGAGCAGAAAAAATAATATGTGTGTGGCAGCAATGCGTCATCGTATTTGTTTGTTAAACAGCAAATAAGCTCCCAGTATACCAGAATCTGTTTGGAGCGGGACTTGAACCAGCGGTCGTGGCGGTATAGGGGTCAAACACTCTTTAACAAAAAGGCTAGGACCATTGCCTCCAACTTCTGTAGCTGCACAGCTTTTACACACTCTCTGACATCCGTTAGCCTATATTATGAACGATTTCTTGTATTGGAAATTAAATTAGCTTAGCTAATTTAATATTATAAACCAGCTCTTATAATGCCCTGTTATTTATGCACATAAAAGGCATTTGTGTAATAAATGATATGGGGTTGGTATGCTAAAATGCTGTCCATGTAATTAACAATTACATTAAAGTATGCTAAAGACGTGGAATCGGCCTATGTTCAATGTTAGTAGAGATGAAAATATATAAAAAGTTACTTTGTACATAAATATTTCCTATCAGTTCACAGGCACTTCTTCCGCTAAAATGATCCATGGTGAATTTAGTCTGGGGCAAGTTCAAGCTCAAACCAGTGCGCAACGTTTTGCTACGGTTTCCAGTTTGAACGACATGTTTCCTGGAAACGGTGTGCAATGATGCTCTCTTTTATTCTGGATGGCAAGGGCAGTGACTGTAACATCAAGTGTATTTTGCAGTATTAAACACGTATTTATACCGAATTCATCAGGCTCTGAAAATTCTTCAAAAAGAGCACAAAGAATGGCCTTCTCAGCTGCCATAGTTGCAACTCTTGCATAATCAGAACAGGGTGTTCAACGCACCACCGTTTCAGTTTAAAAAAACGTTTTGCACCATTTTGTCGGGGCTGAACGCAGCCCTGGTCTGGTTCTGTTCATCACTGATTGGGTGAAAACAGTTCAATATTACTGGCTGTGGAAATCAGCGGGCATGGCTCATTATACTACAAGGAAAACGCCGTAAATAACGTGTGCTTTTGTGGAATCAGAACGGCGTTTTTTACGGCGTCCTGTAGCAAGCCGAACGGCGTTAAAAGCGTATTTTAATTTGACGGCGCTAATATTGTTTAAAACGCCGTCAAATACGGCGTTTTGTATGAAAACGCGATTTATCTATAGCGTAAATGTGAAACTCTTGGCTTGCCATATGCGGAAACGGTACTGTGCTCTCAGCGCGTGCTCTTCAGTTGCAAGCACAAGGCGCCAGCGCCTGCTGTAGCCTGTATCCTTTCATATCAAAGCGCGAAATAAACTACGTGCAATGCCGTGCTCAGTGAAGTCATGAAGTTACCAAAAAGGCGATTAATGCTGCCTTAAAACTGTGCATGCATGTGTATTATATTTTATATGAGTCACATTTAAGAACGTGTACATAAACATGGATTTATGTGAAGATTGTTTTAAGTTCACTTAAATTATAAGTTTTTTTTTAAAGTCAAATAAATGTTACAATTGATAGCAAATTGCATTTTTTTATAATGTATCATACAGAAATATACACATATTCTTATATACACACACTCCCAAAAAATAAAATCAAACAAAAAAACTAATTCATCTCTGCATTTCTCCATTTGACAAATTGCTTTGTTCCTCTTTTGCACTCTGCTTTGGATAAAAGCATCTGCTAAATGAATAAATGTAAA